CCTCAGACATTTTAACCTGGAGAGAGGGGAGACCACAGAATGTTGCATTCTCAGCAAGGTCACTGAAGTAGAGAGGGCTCAGCCTGGAGAAAAGGAAGTGGGGGTGCCAGGCACAAGTGGAGACCCACAGGAAAGGGGCAAAGAGTAGTCCCTCAGAGAGGGGAGTCCACGGGTTTCCTGCCCCACCCAACAGAGGTGGAGCTGAGCAGGGAGGAGAAGAGACGTGGTAGAGAAGACTGGAGAAGGAAGAAGGATGGAGAGCAATGCAGAGATCTGGAGGAGGCATATGGAGCAGAGAGACATGTAAAGAAACTACACTTGCTTCTTCGTCCTGGACTGGATGAAATAGATGTGGGTGAGAGACCCACAGAGAAGCCGACAGTGGTAGCTTTCATCTTGGTTTTGATTTTTCTTCCAGACTTGTCTGGATGTTCTGCCGTTTTCCTATGGGTCTCCACCAGTATGTACCTCAGGCTTGTGGCAGGCTTTTGGCTCCCAACACAGAATGCCCTGTTGGCTGGGCATTGACCCATGAGGGGATGGGTACTCAGGTGATTGATCTGGAGACTGTAGTCTTTGTCTTCTCTTTGTTGTACACTACTGGTCTTAATGCTCCTTTCCAGTAAAGGTCTTATGCACTAGAGTCTATTTGTCTTGATGCAGCAGATGGCAGAACTTATTTAGAGCCAGCAGTCTTGGGGGCTCAGGGGTGCCCCCCACCCCTCCCAAGAATAAGAGCACAATAGCATATGGAAGGCCCTGTAACCCTCTGAAGCGGAACAGTGTTTTGAGCAACCAATTCCAGTCTGTGCTCCAGAGCTCTGTTTCTAAGCTTTTCCCTCCTGAAATAGTCAAGTCTGTGAAATGTCTCACAGTGGCCTGGGATCTGCTTTTTAGCGACTTTGTTCTCAGATTCTAAGGGCACAAACCATATCAATGTTTGCAAAAATTCTCCTTTAAACAGTCCAGTTACCTCTGAATTCTTAAAGGTGCTGAAGCACAGAATCTTTTTCCATTACCGGTGATGGGTAGGAGAAATTCACATGGATTTGAAATGCTTTTCAATATATAAATATCCAATAAAGCTATTTTAAAAGAATGCATGCAAAATGAGAGTGAAGGGAACTAAAAATGCATTAGCTTGAGGTCTGTGAAGGAAAATGCTGTCCCTTCCAAAAAATAAGTTACTTATCAGTGAAAATAGTCCAAATACCTTTGGCTGCAAATTGCTTCGATTGCAAACTCTGTAGGTGCAACTATTTAAAGTGGCACATCAGCAGATAAGGAGGACTCTGCACACCCATATGCCTTTGCCTAACTGCCCTCTGAGACCTGGCTTTCCCCTTCACTTGTCAAGATGTCTAGCTGATCATTCTTAAAGTGAACACGTACAACGAGTCTTTGTTTCCCTGTATTAAGAAGACAAGTAGAACAAAGATTGGATTGAATATTTCTCGGCAGGTTTTTTTTTTTTTTTAAACTAATTCCAACCTGCAAAACAACACCCAGGTTTCTTAACAGCCCAAGCTTGCTGGGAAGGCACACACATTTGCTTTAGAGGAAATCTTTCACCGTTGTTCTGAGAGTCAACAGGAGCCAAAGAAGAGGTTTGTTCAAGAGAATATTTTGATCTCGCAGATTTTTT